CTATCTGCGACCCATGCCCAAGGCCACAGCTGCCTTGGGCTTTCCATTATGCAGATAATTTGCAACTCTAAGCAGAAACATGAACTTCTTTGCCATGGTTCACTGGCAATTTTATCATTATATTTATACAGCAAGCAGGCTGATGAGTCAAACTCCTGCAGAAAGTGGCAGGGTACAGATTTGTAAGAGTCTATTTAAAGAGACAACTTTGGTGAATTATAATGGAGATTTTCCTCTTTTACTAAGTAATTGAAATAACAATAAGGTGTGAAGAAAAACTAATGCATCCGTACGGGCAAAGCATGGTAAGATTTCAAATAGCATGCAAGATTTAAAAAATTTCATTATCCTCATGCATGACACAAGCTTGGTTATCAAATTATCAGTGTGAAATGAGCTCTATCTCCACAGCACATTTACAGTTGCACTAATTCTTCTCTGAAATGCAACTCTCCTGAGTTGCAACTTTGCTCAATCTCCTATACTTGCTTGCAGTAATTTTTAACCCTGTGACAAACCTCACCACTCAGAGGTTATGAGACAAGTTGAGGACATCAGGTTAACTAACAATCATGAAATTTTAGAAAGTGGGTTTTTTTGGGATTCTCCTTATTGGGATTTAGACCCCATTTAAGCTTTTCTTTTCAATGAAGAAAAAACCCCCAACTTACTAAAATTCACCCATAAGCTCTGAAATTCCAGTTACTCATCATGGAATTTTTTGAAGTGGTACTTTTATAAAAATACCAACCATAATGAGATTCAAATGAAAAGCATTAGCTTGAAATATGTGTATAATTTTTGAGATCAAAGAATTGTTTAACAAATACCTATCTGCAATGGTAGCACTGGCTAGTGTTTATTTTACAGACTTTTTCCTACAAAAACTTGCTTAGCAAATAAGGTATTACTTAGATTTGATTTTCTTTGTAAATCAGAGAGATCTTTTGCAATTATTTTTGGAATACTTATGTGATGGAGGACATATAATCATTTACATAGCTATCTGGAAATTTGATCAGATGGCTACAGAGTAGCAGAAAGTTAAGTTCAGATTATTCAGGAATGGTGAATAAGAGTACCTCTCTCATGGGTGGCTCATACTAAACTCTCTGAAGTGGAGGAGGATGTATTAGAAACTCTGATTTATGCAAAACGTCATGTTTCAGACAGACCTCTACGTATTTAATTTCCATATGTGAGCTTGAATGTAACATTCCCACAGTAACGGATCCTGGTTTGGAAATTTCATTGTGCTTGAAAATGGTTAAAATCTGTAAGTGAGCTGTAAATTAGGAGATTCAACAGCAGAAAAGTGAAGAAACGGATGTGTGACCAAGGCATGTAGAATAAACAGGAGTAGGGGCACTTGCTTCTACTATTTTATTAACTGTGTGCTGTCAATACAATCATGAACCCATCAGTTTTCCAATACTTGAGAAAAACTTCCCTGCTTACTGAAAGTGGGTAAGGAGAATTAGCTCAGAGAAGACTTGCAAAATGTTTAGGAAACTTTCAACTTAACTCATCTTCTCTTACTATTACAAAGATCTAACCATAATGTTACTCTTCAGTTAATCCTTTCTAGTGTCAACTCAGTGTCAAGGTGATGATGTCTTAAATGAAGAGGTTTTTTTTGACCTTTATCTGATTTCCACTCCGAACAGAGTAAGGTACACAGAAGGTATTACAGAGGATCCTTTTTTGTCCTTTAGGCAATTTCAACAATAAACAAAATGTCCTTTTTCATGCACAAGGAAAATGCTAATTTCTGTTCAGGGACTGTCAGGGGAGCTTAGATGACAAACTGTGATACTATAATCTGCAATCCCCCTAATACTTTCCTTGCCAGAGGTGAGATTAAATTTCATAATTACTGATGCATCTTTCAATGCAAACCCCTTTTGAGTCAGATACTGAATTTTTAAGCAAAGATGAGGACAGAAGATAGAAGAATGACTACATTCATTAGCACAGAAAGCTAACACAGAATGGATTGGATTATCTTGTCACAAAGTTGTCCTTTTCCTAATTACATACACAATTTGTGTATATGCTGATATTTTATGCTTTGAATGTCCAAAATTGCAACAGCATCATTCCGTGTGAAACCCTTTCCCTACAGTGCTCTTTGGTAGGTATTAGATCAGTTACATGCATAAATTCTTTAGGTGAAACTATGAGAAGGCATCTGCACTAAATTTACAACATCTTGGTGACAAAAGAGAACTGTCTAAGATGTTTCTATTGCAACTTCTCAATCCAAATCTATAGCTTATTTTTATTTTTCTGACATATTCCCTCTATTTAAAAAAATGGAAGCAGGCTTGAAGGGTTTTATTACCCAAAATGAATTTCTGATAACTTTCTCAAAAGAATTCTCGTATGAACTTTGGTGAAAGCACGTTATTTTTGTAAAACACCGCTAGTATTGAATAACGTTGAATAGTTTTTGGAGTAGTCATTTCCAATGAAAAATGTGTCTTGAGAAGTAAACCAAGCTGTTCTTTATGCACAGATACATGTTGCATCCAAACAACAAGACTCAATTTTAAAGTTAGCACAGCAGCAATTATGTGCCTTTCACCAAATATTTCTGCAGATGGCAAGCTGTTGGGATACTGACTTATACGTGGCACTTACTATCCCTCACATAGTACGTTCAAAAGCCTGGTGAGACATTGCTGATAGAGAAGCCCTTGTGAGCCCACAACTCACAGGAGGCTGCAGCTCATCTCCGGGGAAGCATCAGCTTGCTTGGCTGGGTCAGGTTGGGCCAGGGCTGCCAGGGCAGCTGGTGCCTGGGAGCTGGGCTCATAGGGTCAACACGCAGGCAGCCTGGCTGCACGTCTGAGCTTGGAGGATCTTGAGGAAAGGCCTGTGTTTTTGCAGCTTGGCAGTGGCAAGTCCTCTGCTGGTAATTAAAGTAGATGAATAGAAAAGGAAAAGCTGGAGCGCATCAAACTTGCATAACCCGTTTGAATCTCTTTTAGCTAGTTACTCCCAAATAGCTGGAGTTAAACTATGACTTACAGCTGCAGCCAAAAACTTAAGGGCTTGGCAAAGCAGGGGCTCTCACAGCTTGCTGTGACAGGAGTCAGGGAAGGTATTTGAGAGGATTCAGGAATTCCTCAACATCCATAATAATGAACATCTGCTCTTCTGTACAAACAAACAAGAAATACCTCTCTCTGTAAGAAGCCAGAGATGGTTTTGTACCTTCATCTTTGAATCTGATTTCAGGCACACAGCTGCAAGTTAAAAATGTTATTTCTCCCTTGTTCTGTAGCTCTGAGGGGTAGGTTTTGCAGACACCAGCCACTGCCCCAGCACCAGTCCTATACAGTGAAGGAGGACAAACAGACTTTGCAGGGGCTCCAGCACTGATGACAGGCAGCCATCTGGCTCACTGATTTACATGGATAGGTGTTTCTGGTTCTCACCCCTTCATCTGTAGCTAGAAACTTGTCTAAAGCCTTTGCTAGCTCTGCAAATTGCACTGTGGTTGAGGGGGTAGGCAGAGTTTCAGAGAGTGCGGCTGACCCGTATGTTCCTCCAGGCCAACGCTTCCAAAGCAAGCTACAGAATGACTCTGGGAAAGGTATTGGCAGAGAGTTTTACAGAAGTTACCTCTTTCTTGGCAAATGCCCGTAGTATATTTGGGATTTGTACCTTTAGGCTGAAATACAGACTGCAACACGACAAATATCTGAAGCATAAACAGAGCCACAATATGAGTTTTCCGCTTTGAGATATAGAATCATAGAATAGTTAGGGTTGGAAAGGACCTTAAGATCATCTAGTTCCAACCCCCCTGCCATGAGCAGGGACACCACACACTAAACTACGTCACCCAAGGCTCTGTCCAGCCTGGCCTTGAACACCTCCAGGGTTGGAGCATTCACAACTTCATAATGTACATAGAATTCTCAAGTATGTAGAGTATGTTTGCAAAGGACAGGCCAATCATGTGCTGTGGTGTAGAAATAACTGCTGGGCAAATCTGAAATCCTCTCTTGGAAAAACTTTTTATTCCTTAGTCTTGTGCAGCTAAGCACCTAACTAATTTATTCCTTTAGATATGGTCTATTGATAAAGTTCAGTAAGGCAAAATGATTGAGGATACAAAGATACAGGGACTTTACCACCACTTTGTAATCAAACAATATGTACCGCAGCTGCAAAGTTATTGCCACATTACTGCTACAACTATTGCTAGGAACCATCCAAAATAATGTATGGTCCCTCCAGGGCTGAAAATTAGTACAGATCAGAAGATCATCCATAACTGAACCTTTGATGCAGCTTTGATGTAAGAAGGTAGAAAGCCTGAGCTGGCTTCTCAGGTGAACTTTTGGAGAACAAGACATTGCTTGTGATTGCCTTGTTTTCCAGATAAAGAATATGTTTTAGGCTCCAGCTCCATCCATAATGATGCAGTTTCAAAAGCAACACACACATTAAAAGAGAGAGAGAGAGAGAGAAGCTCTGTCCTAGGCATTCTTAGCTTCACTACATTCTTGCGTTTGTTCATCTCCCTTTCAACTGTAACGTGGTAAGTGAGCTGATTGAAGAAGGGTAACAAGCCACATCAGAGAGAAACATATTTGGAAGTGTAAAAACCCCAAGTAACTTTGCATGTATTTGCTTCCTAATGTAACTCGCCATTGAAAGTAGAAACAGCAAAATACTGTGGGAAAGTCCTTACCAAGTTCAGGAACTAATCTACAGTCTGTTAAATGCTGCATCCTATTTCTAACCTAGGATAAATTAAACATCTAGTGTTTGGAGATAAGAACAATAAGTGGTGTATCAGACAATTATTAAAAGCACAAACATCTAAGTAATTAATAGCCACTAGCATTAACTGTTGTGTGAAATGAACAGAGTATTTTTGAATGCATTTTTGATACATGTAATCTCAAAAATAGATTTACGGTATTACAAAGTTACTATGAATACTACACGTTCTTTAGGGGAAAAAAAGCCATCTTCCTTACCTGCTATTGCTTCAAGACTAGGGATTGCAATAGTGCTGTAAGTGCTAACACATTTACAGGACCATGTGCGAACTAAGGTTTCCTCTGCATTTTCCAGGCCTGGCAATCTGTCCATGAAGAAAGAGCCCCACTGTTTAGATACAAAATAAGGAGCTTTGAGCTGATCTCCCTGAAAGAAAAATAAAGAAATACGTAATCTTAGGAAAAAAAAAATCCCCTTTCCCTATCCAATCATAAGCATTAGTTTAAGGAACTCTGGAGTTTCTTTGATTTACTGGAAAAATGGTATTGTATCTCAGGAGCAATATGACTTTAAAATGTTATAAAGTCAAACAATAGTAATCTTCTCACAATAACAATCAATTCCTCCCATAAATTCCCAAGCTCCTCTTATGGATTCCCTACGACATAAAAGGCTGGCTTTAAATATTTCTCCCTTTAAAAAATCTTGTCTTTTCCCCATTTTTCTGTTTTTGATAGTGTGAATGGTGTGCTGCCTTTCTCTGCTGGAGAAGCTGGGTAGCTGCAGCACAGACCTAACCTATCCTGGACCTCCTCCCAGGAGAAATGAGTCTCCTGGTGCTGTATGAAGTAACTGTGAAGAACGCATCATGTCACCTGTGTTGCGTTATCTGAGTTGAGGAATGAGTGAGACAGAGCTGCAGGATCCATGAAGAGCCATCCAGTTGCCTAGCAAATTATGAAAAATTGTTTTTTGTTCATGTATATTTTCAGACAACAACATGTGGACTCATTATGTTTTAAAGAAAGCATTAAAGCAGCATTGGGAAAGCTGGTATTTTTAGCAGTTCATCTTGAAACCTGCTATATATTGCCATAAGCAGCCAGAAAAAGCTCCAGGAGGCCTCTACAGAAAGATGAAAAAATGGAAAACAAAATGAAATACTATAGAAAATCTGTTCAAGTCATTTGTGTGCAAAGTAACTTTTCAGATGAGCACAGCATAGAATAACAGATATCCTAGCATGTGCCTCCAGGTTCATGAAGAGTTGGGCTTATTCAGCCTAGGGGAGAGAAGGCTCAGGGGAGACCTTAAAGCAGCTTCCAGTACCTAAAGGGGGCTCACAAGAAATCTGGAGAGGGACTTTTTGTAAGAGCCAGTAGTGACGGGACAAGGGGGAACGGCTTTAAACTGAAATAGGGGAGATTTAGATTAGATACTATGAAGAAATTCTTTATTGTGAGGGTGGTGAGGCACTGGAGCAGGTTGCTCAGAGAAGCTGTGGCTGTCCCATCCCTGGCAGTGTTCAAGGCCGGGTTGGATAAGCTTTGGAGCAACCTGGTCTAGTGGAAGGTGTCCCTGCCTGTGTTTATGACAGAGGTCCATGGCTTTTGATCACATGAAAGATATTGATCCAGCTGAACAGATCACATCAGTAAATACAGAGCCACTTTTTGTGATTCTGAGTTAACAGTTTTTTCTCTGAGCGTAGCTAGGGGTGAGGAGGAAGCATTGATTTGGGCAAGTATAAATAGTGGTTTCTGTCTTCTGATATAAATAGGTTGGAACAGCCCCTACCCCCTCACCCCCCCTTATTTTTTGTTTCAAAACAAGCAATTAACTTAAGAGCTGGGCTCTTTTGTGGTTTTGGTTGGAGTTTTTTTGCCTCTCACACAGGGACAGCATCCTTCCCTCCCCCTCGATGTTATCTTTCTATGCAAATCCCAGGACGTTAAGTCAGTTACAATTCAATATAGGTGTTATGCTGAATTAAAATCTGTTAGCCAGCTGGATGGCACAAGCAGAAAACCTGTAAGGCCACTAGAGCTGATGAATTAAAACAACCACCCCAGTATTGGCCCATGGCATTTGCACAAAGGACAGGGACTTGTTTATTGACAAAAGAAAAAATCTGAGGCTTCTGCTTTTTAAAATGTATGACTGGTACAACAGGCAATTAAAATTGCAATCTGAGGAAATGAATTAATTTTTTAAGAGGTCTGAATCTCAGACTGGGAATTTCTTCCCTATCACGATGGAGTGAGTTACATTTTGTATTTACAGTCCAAGCCCTTAGTAAAACCAAACCCAGCTAGGTAAGAGAGTTGTCGAGTCACCTGGTAGAGAACCCCTGCCATTTTGCTGCTGGCTTATCTCCACATGACTGGCATGGTTTGGTAGGCTAGATCTTGATCTCAAATCTGGAAAGAGCTGTCAAAACTTTGCCCACATCCTCAGGAAGTATTGGACATTGCTCCCCTGCCATTCCTAAGTAATGCCTAGAACAAGTCCATATCTCATCTGCAGCATACATAGCCTGCAGTGAAGGACAGACCACGTACCATGAATTTATACATCTGTGAAATGAAGCAAAAGTCCCCTGTTAACATCGCTGCTCCTCACCAGCCTGGAGGCACACATTCAGCAGTGGGGCTAGAAGCTCTCGAAGGTGCATCAGCCACTCCTGTAGTCCCCAGACATGGGGTTTGCTCTTGCAGCAGGACAGTAGATCCTGGGAAGTGCTGAGCAATCCCTCTTTCTTACGCAAAATCCCCAAGCACATGGTTTTGCTTTCAGGCATACTGGTCAGACAGTAGCAGGTCAGATGTTGATTGTGTCAGCTGAGGGTACAAAGCTTTAAAGACTACATCTAGACTTTAGAGAAATAAAAGGATGGTATGAGGGTTCCCCAAGTCCCAGGGCTTTCCACTAAGTTGAACCACCTGGAATCCTTACTATCACCTTTGCTTTATTAACTGCAGACAAATAAGGCCTGTTAACAGAGCAAACAGAATCTGTTAATAGGACCCTTGGGTAACACTGGTTTGTCAGCTTACAAATGACCTTTCTAAAATACAAACAGGCAGGGAGCTGAGCTCTGAAGTTTTTCTACATTTGGTAATGAGATGGAAGAAAGAAGGATATAAAGGAGACTGGAGTGGAAAATCAAGCTGTTGGTATTTTTTAAAGGCATTATTTAGATAGACAGATACCATCTATACCATCATCTTTGTACCAAGTTCAGAGCACTAGGATTACTTTACTGCATCCAGTATGACAGATGGTACTGATGGCTGTATGCTTTGTGCCAAGCTAGTTAAACCAACATTGACTCTTAGTGCTAGGGGAAAAAAAAAAAAAAAAGCTCAAAATATGGTTTTGCTGGTATAAGAGCAAGTATTTGAGGTGTTTCTGCTAGCACAACTGTGCTGGTCACAACATTCAGATGTTCCTGAATAACACATCCATGCTGGGTGTGCAAAAGGACAAGCCCAGAACTTGCCCCCACAAGTCATATGCAAATACAAAACATTTTAGCCATGACCATTGTACCTAAACTACAACATGGCTCACTATAAGCAGACTTTAACGTAAAATGCGTTTCACTTCAGGATATTGCTTTAAATCTCCAGGCTTCACAATAGCCCATCAGGCTGTTCCTGAAAGTACTATTAGATTTGTGTTACAGATAAATGGGAATAAAGAGACTGAGCCAAAAGGCTGAGAGTAATTAGCTTTGTCTATGGTCATGGCAAGGGAGTCTCTGAAATTTGGGGAGTTTAAGGGCCCTGAACCCCCCAACCAACCAATCACTAGGCAATACCATAAAAATTAGTTTTTCTTCTAACTGCAAAAGCATCTGTATCTGCCAATAAATTCTTTGATTCCTGCTCCATTCATTCCTATAGACCCAGGTTTTTATACATTGAATAGCTCCTCTGTAATTGTTTCCCTTGAAAGCCTAGGACAAATTCCAGTTTTTCTTTGAGTTTTCACTGATGGAATGGATCACGCATTTAAAGAACAGAAGGCAGAAAAAAAAGCCTGCAGCCAAGCAAACAAACCCCCAGATCTGGGGGGAATCTTGTTTCAACACAGTGCTTGATATTTTTCCCCCCCTGCATGCTGCAATACACTTAGGAATAACTGCAGAAATAGTTTTTAGTTTGATATTCTCTTGCTTATTTGGTTATGACTCATATACTTGAAAAAACTGCAATAGTTACCATAATTTCAGAGTTATGTGTATCTGGCTAATATCATGCATTTAATTGAAGGGAAAAGACAAAAACTGCTAATGAAAATGGAGATTACTAGCCTCCCAGTTTGTGTGTGAGGAGGTTGTTTACTTCCTGTCTCTTCACTAGTGATGAAATACCAAACAACTGAAAACAAGTTTTTGTAATTTATTTCAGAAATATACAACTGCAAATTAGTAGTAATACTTTATTTCTTTAATAATATTTTGTAAAGATTGATAGAAGGCAGGATTGCATCTTGTATTAAATTTTCAGTCCCTCTCTGCACACACAGCATGGCATAGAAAATCTGCAATAGTGGTGTATTTTTTTTATTGCCAGTGAATGAGAAGGCTGATGAACAAGACTAAATCTAATCTGTTAGTGCTCAGTTTTCCAAAAACACCTGATGTTGTACAATCCTTTGAATTAGCTTTTCTCCTCTCTTAACCAAAGGGTTAATGGGAGAAGTTGATGGGGGGAATGAAAATAAAACTTTCATAGGCTTGTAAAGGGAGTCCCTTTGAACTAGTCCTGTTAAGTTAGTGGTGTCCAGTCAACTGCAGAGATATGGATGTGACCTGTTCAGACTCCAGTGAGCAGCGTGGTAATGAAATAACACCACTGACCTGCCACAGCCCCTCTGGTTCAGGTTCCTTTAATCAACACAATTCATTTCTCCCTTGCTTGCTCGCTGTCACTGGTAGCGGATGTAAACTGAACAGGGGTTGCATGTGGCAGTGGTGGTGCCCCCCTGCATCTCCTATCAGGAATTCTACAGCACTAGTAAAAGGTGAAGCACCTGCCTAAAAGTCTCAATTTCCTGCTTATTAACTGCAGTGATAGAGAAGATGGATCTTGTGAGCAGTCGACCAGAGGTATTGCAACAACAGAAACCCAAATCATCATCAAGGGCTTAGAAACACATCACTCAATAACTCTTTCTTTGTACTTCCAAGACTAGAAACATTTTCTGGCTGGCTGTTTAAAAATGTGTGCTTCAAAAACACATATTGAACATGCCTAAGAAACCATGATTGAATAAAAACCCTCAAACCTTACAGAGATGTAAGTTCTATGCAGCAATGCAGCAGTGTCCAGCCAGAGAATGAACAAACTTATGGAGAAGCATGAGTTATTTTTATAGAATAAATTAATAAAATCAAATTATATTAATCTATGTAGCACTACTACTTACTCTTCCTTTTTCTCTCCTTTTACTGAGAAACACATTTTCCTTGATAGGAAACTTGACTTTGTTTGTCTTCATTTTTGTTTTTTAACAACCCAGGAAGAAGCCTAAACATTATTTTATTTCCTTATTTCAGTAACTGAAATGTCCTTGTCTGAGCTTAGGTTAGAAATCAGGATAGCGGGGAAAATATTAGATGCATTTATTAAAAAACAAGTAGAAAAATAGATGTCACATTTATACTGTTTTAGTCCCACTGAAGATATCATTTTCTCCATGAAAACCAGGGGCTTTTAAAAATGCTTCTGAGTTGGATTAAACCTATTTCTAAAATAAAAGCATCCCCCCAAAATCTTCCTATCAGTAAGTTAACTTTTTGATCACAAAGAGTAATTATTAAAAAAAAAAAAAAGTTAAGTGGTTTTCAAAGCAAAGTGCAAAAAGCATACATATATCTCTCTCCAATTAGAAGAAAGTGGCCTATTTATTTAGGAACATAAGAAAAGAAGAAACACTCCAAATGCAGAGTAAAGTTGCACTGTAGTTCCTACACAGGACATGCTGGATGTACAATGCTGCTGCGTTGGCCATCTGAATGCTGTTCTTATCTATTCTGTTCTTCAGCAGCAGAGATAATGATAAACCATAGTAAGCTTCCACCTTCTGTGGGAGAATTAAAGAGCATCTGTAGTGCTAAGGCCCTGCTTCTCAGCTGTGATCAACCTGAAAATCACATTATTTATCTGAGGTAACTATCAGTAGTCTGTATTGGACCAGACTTTGAAACAGTCCCTCTTCTCTGAGTGCAGCTGCCACCAAAATAAACAACCTACAAGGGAAGCAGCAAATTACAAATTCTTACTATATATAGAAATCACAAGAAAACTCTGTCTTACAGAGAGAGAAAGAAAGCTTTAAAACAACCTAATAAAAATTCCTCTGTGTTTACAGTTGGCTACAACATACAGAGAAACATCATGAACTTAGCAGAGTTCAGGTGCTGGATTTGTGATAAGCACCATGAAATTTCTCCTTGTAGGATAGAAGACAGATTCTTGTAACTGAAAAGGAGAAACTATGAGGTTTTTTTGGTAAGGGAAAGCACATACAGCTCTTTTTTTTCTGAGACTGGTGATTTAGCTCCAGGTAGAGGCTCTGTGTCACCCATGCAATGCTGAGCTGGGACAGAGCAGCAACCTCCTGGTGTGGCCAGGAGGATGTCTGTGGGGGATGCTGATGGTGCCAGCACCCTGGTAAGATAATCAGGTTCATTCTCAGCACAGGTAGCACGAGGCTTTTTTGTGACTTACTTTATTCTGTGCCAGGAAACATCTGCAAGGAACCCTTACCTCGTATTTTCCTTTCTTCTCCAAGGGCTCAGATTCACTCTCCGCAGGCACTGCAACTTTGTCCCCTAGAAGCTCCTCTAAGATGAAGACAGTTTCCCAGTTGCTATAGTGATGAGCTGGGAAAATATCTGAGTGCATGCTGTCACCAAAATAAACAACCTACAAGGGAAGCAGCAAATTAAAAGTCTGTTGTATATGAGGAAAACACAAGCAAACTATATTTTACAGAGAAAGAAAAAGAGCTTTAAAACAACCTAATAAAAATTCCTCCATGTTTACAGTTGGTCATGACACACACAGATCTTAATGTCACAGCTTGGGGTTTTATCTTCAACCAGCTCTATAAGGAAAAGGCTGGCCTTGCACACCCTCCTCGCTCTCACCCTCCAGGGGCATTGGATGGGGATGCCTGGCTGGGACTGGCACAGTCGGGACACCGCCAAGTTTTTTGACAAAAATAGCCTGCCAAGAAGCAGTGGAAAAAACTACCAAGAAAATACACTAAACAACAGGAATTAATTTTGGACAAGGAAACAAGGGAAAACATGGAGCATCTGTTGGTGACTGAGAACTCTTCTGTGCCCAGGGCAAGTTTACCAACTAGGGAAAATGTGGTCCCACCATCCTCAGTGGGCATTTTCACCCATCCAGACCTGTGATTAATTAAAACATGATCCTAGATTTCACTGATGCCACCTTTTAATCTATGTGATCTATTTCCTCAGGAAGATTATTTCCTGCATACAGTCTGATTCTCCCTAAAGCTGCTGAAATGCATGCCCATGCATACAGGATAAAACATCTAAGAAATTTAGATATTCTAATGATAAGAAGACTCATATGCTACTTCCAGTTCTGGACCGCAGTCTGTCCAGAACTGGACACTTACACAGAGTAAGTGTAACCAGAATGAAAATTGGTATTTTCAGGAAGTTTTACTCTCACTGATAACATACCTTGGGATCCAACTTGCCAGTCATCTTCTTCAGTAGTTCATAAAGCTGGATAGCATTACCTTGGGAATACCAGCCGGGCTTGTCCAGTGATAGCAGAGCCTCTTGCTCCTCGTCATTCTCTGAAATCACCAAGCAAAATCGCTTGCTGTTACTGAAAGCAGTCCATATTCCTGTGTTCATGAGACATGTGAGAAGCTGCTGCACACAGCTTGAAGATCTATTTTGACATTATAGCAGCTCCAATGTCTGGCTCTTGACTGATAGTTCAGTCAAGGTGTTTGGTAGCTGGGAGTAGGCAGACATTTGTGAGAAAAGCAGCAGCCAAGCCTTGTCTGCAAGGGCTACAGGAGAGCTGAGGAATCAAAGTCATAGGCTTTGCCTCTGAAACACTAAAGCAGTGAAGGCAGGAAATCACATGGACCAGACTGATGGAGGAGCTGCTACAGATACAGGGTGAAAGCATGAGATAAGTCAGTCTGTAAGAGACAGCATGCACCTTTCCCCACAGACAAACAACCTACCACTTTTAAACACTGACATAAGTGTGACAAAACAGACTGAGGTATGGGTATTTGCCAGCCTTAGATCAGCACAATCAATGAGCAGTTCTGGTTATCATCCAGTTTTGAAGAAATAACAAGCAGACAATATTGCTAATGATGTTGTAATCCACATTGGCACATATCTGCACTGGCATCTGTCAGTGAACTGGAAAAATCAGCAGAATCTGAAACTCCCTGGACATCACCCAGCAGTGCCATAGGCTTTTTTTCTAGCTGGTCCCAAAGCAGCTGGATCTGTCCTGGTGTCCATGTAACCTTATTGTTCTTTCAGATCCATGTGCTACAGCCTGATGAACTCTTTTTAGCTTCTTTCTCAAGCCAAAATACTAGCCTTAGTGAACTGATAAACTACAATTTCATCACAAATATTAATATTATTGTCTTCTGTCTACTGAATTGGTTAAACAAAAGGGTGATATTGTTATTCAGTATCAATCAAACGTCCTACTTCTTATGCTAGAGACAGAGGGGTTAGAAGCCAATACAGTACTTTGATCTGACTTAGGTGTAACACCAGGACTTTCAGGTTTTCTCCTGCTTTACAGAATTTTTCAAAGTACTTTAAATGTATTAGGAATAAGACAGACAAAGCAATCTTCATTTTGTTAGAGACTGCTGAAAGCTGGAATACAAATTTTGAAGAACAGTGAAATGACAAGAGAACTTTATGTTTAAAGAGCACTGGAGATGTACATGGTGCAGTACATTGGTCCCTGAAAGAAGTAAAAGAAAGAAGTAAAATGTGGGAAATAGGTATGTGGAAAGAGGCAATAAATAATTCTTTAGTATTATGAATCCAAGAATTTGAATAAACATAGGATTTATTCTCAGACAAAATGACTCTATGTTAGAAGCATTTTATAAACCAGGAAAAAAACAAGTTGACAGTAACAATTCACATAGAACTCATGTGGAAATGTCTTTTCCTTTGTTCTTCTTCAGAAAGCTAACAATAGTAAGTATGATAACATCCATTAAAAAAATCTTAAATTCAGAAATCCTAACTTCCCGACTTTTAAAATACTTTTGACCAAACAACTTTTGATCAAACAGAAATTGTCAAACTTCAACAGATTTGCTTTATTTTCCTTGTATTTTTAGACATATTTGTAAGGCTGGCTGAACAAGAAGACACAGTCTTCAAACGATACGGACACAGGAAAAGAAACTTATGAAAACAACTCTTTTGAGCTGCTACCAAAGGTTTCTTGTGGAGGTTTGTATAAGCTATCATTGTCTCTCCATTCAGTCAATCAGGAAAACACTAGAGAAAAATGGAGCCATTATGAGAGGGATTTTTAGAATCAAAACACTGCATTTGCAAATAGGAGCCTTATATATTACAGCAGCACCAGAAGGACCCAGCTAAGATCAAGACCCTATTTTGCTACTTCTACGGAAAGGCATGAGGGGCCATCCTGATGGAAAAAAATCACTCTAATTACATGGTAGAAGATCTTTCACTCTGTGAGATCTTTTACTGTCACCCTTCACCTCAACTTGATGCATCCGGAATTTAGCCTTCTAATTTACAGTTACAATATGAACTAATTGACCAGGAACCCTCAGTACCTAGAAAAGACAGCAAGAAACACTTTCTAGAGGTGCCAGCTCTGGAGAAGGAAAGGATTTAATTAAGTTAGGAACTGCTTTATAGGCAGTGAAATGAAGGGAAATTTCAAAGCCTGGTTTCCTTCCGTTTGCTTGGAGGCAGCAAACAGCGGTAAGATGTCTAATTCATTATGGGAACAACTTGATTTTGGAAGAAGCTTCATAAATCTGAGGAATTACGAAAGGCCCTTTATAATATTTAAGTTGTAGGGTCATAAGGATAATGACTCTACACTGGCAAACCTTGCCTCAAACCATCTCATATGGCTGCCTGTGCTCACAGATCCAGGGCTGACCGTGCCAGTTTTATTTCTGTAACCCAAACCTGGAGGAAATCAATGCTGTTTCAGTTGCAGTAAGTCATTAATGAGAATGGTTTCTAATCCAGTTACACTTTCTCACTGGCAAAATATAGTCAAGAAAATTATTCTTCAGCACTGGCTCTTAAGGCCTCTTGTAGCAGTTCTGCCATGTAAAAATTGATATGCAACAACTTAAAAATCCATTAATAGCACCATTAGCTCTGGCTTTGTATTGTATCTTTCAGATAGCAGCTACATGACAGCGCTGAAGAAATCTGAACACTTCCTGCAAAAATACTGCATAAATGTGATTATGGTAGTTCCTAATACGTTTTAGATATTACAAGCCTAACATTGGCTACACTCAGCCAGGAGGAAAACTGTTGCTGACCTTCCTTCACTTTGCTGTTATTGATTTGTAAAAGTTCATTCAAAGGTCAGAAATGCTATAAATATTCCTTCAGCA